GTATGAATATAATATACAAGTTTCACTTTTTAAATGGAATTACTGAAATAAATCTACTTTTTCATGATATTCTAATTTTATGACCAGCACCTGTACCTAGTTTTATCCTAATTTAGTGATAATTTGTTGTTTAAACCAGTTTTGTATTTTCACAAATTCTGTTTGCATTTTCTCTTACATCAGTTCTATGTCTTTACCCAAACAAAAAACGTTGCATCATCAGCAAACAAAACACATTTAAAGAGCCCTGACACATTGACCAAGTCATTTAGGGTAAACAACTTTAGTCCAAGTATAGAACCCTGAGGAACTCCGCATGTTGTTCCACAGAGTTCAGACCTTGCATCAGGTACAAACTCTTTCCTATTTTCCAAATAACTAAATATCCATTGTAATGCTGGTCCTCTAATCCCATATTTATTTAGTTTTTCAAGTAGAATGCTTTGGTCAGTCGTGTCAAAKGCTTTCTTTAAATCAACATAAACACTGGTGCWATATTGTTTTTGATCAATAGCATTTGTTATTTAATCTATCAGATCTATAAGAGCCACTGAAGTAGAGTTATTGGCTCTAAATCTGTATTGACTATTTTTATCAATAAATTGATCTAATCTGATCACAAATAACTTCTCCAAGGTTTTTGAAAACTGTGGCAACAAGGATGTTGGTCTTTAATTACTGAATACACAACTCAGTTCAATGACTGAATAAAAATACCTGATCTGCTCTTATTGTGTTGACACTGACCTGCTAAAAGACAGACTTTTATTTTGAAAAGTAGGAAGTTGTTTTTAGATGTTTTTTTATTTGAGATAAAATGCTTTAATTTGTTGTGTTTTATGTTTATTCTCTGCTTTAACAAAAAGCCCAGTTTGAGTTCTGGAGGTCCAGTTGAGGTCTGAGTAAAGTCAGACATCAGGTCCAATAACAGGACAGACCCTGATGAACCAGGAAGGTCCCAGCAGCAGCACGGAGCCAGACCTTCAGAACCTACCTGGGAATCTTCTGCCTCACGGACTTGTTTTTGTCAGGAGGGGGCGGGGCCGGGCGAGTGGGGATCAAAGGTCCTGGATGATTGGTCGAACCTCTGCAGATCAAACATCAACATCAGCACCAGCAGCAGAAGAAGAAGAAGAAGAAGAAGAAGAAGAAGAAGAAGAAGAAGAAGGTGATGTCAGAAGCTCAAACACACCTGGTCACCTGGTCAGAACCAGAATCTCCATCAAATCCAGTAGGAGCAGAGCTGCACCTTGGATCCTCCTCCTCATTGGATGATTCTGTGTCAGCTTCCTCCAGACTGGTCCAATGAGAAACCACTGTGACRTACGGGTCCTCTGGTTTCAGGGCAGCAGGACACTGAGATGGAACTGGACCCAGAACCAAAGGACACAAATCAGAAGGATGGTGAGGGGAAGAACCACATGCAGAACATGGACCAACCGAACCTTCCTCTGTGGACTCTGCAGAACCTTTTACAGGTGCTAACTGGACTCCTTTGGTCGGGTCCAAAGACTGGGTCACCAGCTCAGACTGGACTTTGGTCGGGTCCAAAGACTGGGTCACCAGCTGGGACAACACTCCAACATCTGGACAAGTCCAAACAACACAGAGAGACACGTGTTAGCTCTTAAATCTGAAAACCAGAAACAAATCTCTGATTTACTCGGCCTTAAACCTGGTTCCAATCACCTGGATCAGGACCAGAACCAGGACTGGGACCTGCTGTACAATCAGTTTCCATGGTTACTGAGCTTAGACTCTTGTAAATAATGAGTTTGAACCAAACTTGATAAACATCAACAATAAAACACACCAGAATCATACAGTAGAACTGATACCTGTACCAGTACCAGTACCTGTACCAGTATCTGTGCCAGTACTAGGAGCAGTACCAGTACCAGTACCAGTACCAGATCTGTACCAGTATCTGTACCAGTATCAGTACCAGATCTGTACCAGTATCAGTACCAGTGCCTGTACCAGGACCAGTAGCAGTGCAGACATTTATTTACAGTTCAGAACAGGCCTCGGTCAGATTCACTGGTTTACCTGTGGGTGTGTCTCCAGGGCCGATCCTTCCTAAAGGTGTAGAGGAGGGTTCACCAGGTGAGAGGGGCGGGGCTGAAGGGGTGGAGCTAACTGCAGCTAAACTGGGTATGTTAGCCATCAAACTCAGGATGCTGTTCAAGTTTGGAACAGCTGAGTCAGTAACAGGTGCAGATGTGGAGGGGGCAGCGTTAGCACTGTTAGCAGTGTTAGCACTGTTAGCAGTGTTAGCACTGTTAGAAGCAGCGTTAGCACTGTTAGCAGCAGGGTTAGCAGCGTTAGCAGCAGGGTTAGCAGCGTTAGCAGCAGGGTTAGCAGCGTTTGCTGAACATGGAGTATTAGTGGAGACGCTATGAACCAGACTGTCTCCAGAAAGGGGTGCTGAGGGGGCGGAGCCTACAATAGCAGCAGCAATGCCTGCCAGGGAAGGAATGTTGGTGGAAATGATGTCAGTTATGCCGGTTAGAGATGGGAAGACATCTTGATTTAACACAGGTGGAGCAGAAAGGGGTGGAGCATCTTTATCTGAGGGGAGAAGAAAACAACATCATTATTTGAACGCTGTCAGTCAAACACAGAACTAATCCAAAACACAAACTCTTTCCTGTTTCACTTTGTTTATTAACTCAAACTCTTCCGTTTTTTAATCCTCAGTTGAGTTATTTCATGTGAAATCAGACATTTGTTCAGATGAAGAAACCCCACTGAGGAAGAGGATGGTGGACTCTGGGTTCAGGTCTCTGAGGTCTGACAGCCTCAGACCTGTTACTGGGTTCAGGTCTCTGAGGACTTTCTGTTCTTTCAGGTTCAGTGAAGCAGGTCCAGTCAGTGACAAACCAGTTCCTGATAAATCAGAAGAATGTTAAGCCAAACCAGTTTGATGGGATGATTGACAGTCCAATGACCCAATAAAATGACACCAGGAAACACCTGAACCTGTTTCAGCAACATCACCACCAAGTGAAGTTGGAATAACTTGGTGTGTGTGTGKGGGGGTGGGGGGTGTTTCTGGTGACATTTGGGGGCAGTTTTAAGACAAAAATCCTACCTTTTTGGACAACTGGTTCATTTGGGGACAAAAGTGGAGTCCCCATTTGGTTTAAACACCATTGGTGGGTTGGGTTTAGGACCAAGGTGTGAATCGAGTTTAGGTTAGTTTAGAGTCAGGTAGGTACCTGTGAGGTTAGTTTAAGGGTCAGGTAGGTACCTGTGAGGTTAGTTTAGGGTCAGGTAGGTACCTGTGAGGTTAGTTTAGGGTCAGGTAGGTTAGTTTAGGGTCAGGTAGGTACCTGTGAGGTTAGTTTTAGGGTCAGGTAGGTACCTGTGAGGTTAGTTTTAGGGTAGGGGGTCAGGGTTAGGCTGTAGGAATGTAATGGAAGTCAATGGAATGTCCCCAAATGGATAGCTGTGCAAACTTGTGTGTGTACCTGTGCTCAGGTGAAGTCCACTGAACAAACCCTGATGTGGATCCTCCTCAGACTCGTCTCTGAAACAGAAGCAGAGTCAGAGTTAGCAGCAGGGGGACAGGTGATATGTTGACAGGTAATCATCTTCATCATGAAGATGAAGGTCAGGTGAGCTCTTTGTTTGTTTAGACAGTTGTGTTTCCAGGTGAAACAACACGACAACTTGAATCATAAAAACTAAATCTACAGAAATTCACATGAATCTGTTAAAATTCTTGTCCAGTTTTATAACTACAGGTGGACTCAGAAGACTAGTCAGATATCAGCCATGATTCTGATTGGTTCAGGTGAGCTCACCTGTCCAGGGAGAAGGTGGAGCTTCGACTGTCCTTCGTGTAGCGACTCCGAGGCTTTGGGACGGGCGGAGAAGGAGGCGGAGTCATCTGCAGAGGAAGAAGAGTTAGAAATTGGAAAGTCTGCAGGGATGCATTTGATTGGACACTGCAGCGAGAAGAATCACAATGAGTAAACCAAGACAGGAAGTGATGAMACCAGAGAGGGCGGAGCTAATTGCTTCAGGCTCTCAAGTGAGGCGTGGCCCTCTAATAATGCGGACCAGTCAGACAGCTGATAACTAATAATCTGATCAGTATTCCCCTGAACCTTCTGATGGTCCAGACTTTCAGTCACATGATCAACAGGCTCCACCCACCACGCTGACATGACTATTTTCTAAACAGGAACTGTCCACAGAAACAGAAGAAAAAGATTAAACAGTACCTGAATCCTACAGGACCATGGCTCTGGTCTCTGAGGTCCAGATTCACATTAAATCAATAAAGTCATGTGATCCAAGCAGAAAAATAAACGACTACAGTCTTTATTCTGTGACTGAATGTCCAGAACAACACATCAGCTTTCTAACCTTCTGTTTGAAAACTGAGGATGTTGGTCTGTAACTGGTAAACTGTTTGTGGTCAGGGTTAGGATGTAGGAATGTAATGGTTTCCACTGAAACACAGCCATTGTTGGAATATATTATGTCTTGATCTAAAAGTATTAGACCGTTCTTAACCTGGCATCAAGGCTGCTTTTAGGGATTGGTTATTCAGAAGAAGATAATGTAAAGGAGGAGAAAGTGTTAATTGTTTAATTGGTTCATGGTGTTTCCTGGACAAATACATACACCATGTAGGTCCTGAGAGATGAAGCCAGAAGATTTATGTTTTCAGGTTTTCAACTTAATGTTCCTTGTTTGTGAGGCTTAAAGCTGGCTTTTAATTTAAATTTAAAATTTGTTTTTATTTAATTATGTTTTAGTTTTGATGTGTTTTGTTTTTGTATGTAGTCTGTACCTCAGCAGAGACTAATGGGGACTGTTAATAAAAATAAAATAAATAACAGAAGTCATTATATCCTTTCAAACATCAAACTTGTGATCGTTTGTCTACAAGGTTTTAACAATCCTCAGTATTTCTTCTTCATCAGTTTCATTAAGAGTAGGACAGTTGGTTCAACCCATGACTGTATGACTCACGTTCTTATCTATTTTTAATATTTTAGCTGTAAAACTTGGGCCAACGTTCACATAATATTGACTGAATTCATTCATTTGACGTTGATCATAAATTTCCTGGTCATTCTTTACAAAATACTCTAAAAAACTTTATGATTTTCAAAACAGTATTCATTCCTCACCACGTTGCCACGTTCTGTTTAATACTTCACTGTAATATGTGCTTTTTATAACCATAACAACTTATTTTTATACTTATTKTATCTCTCATGTTTTCGTTCTTAATTTTAAGAAGTAATTTTTTTGTTCAAGAATTTCTCAATCCTTTAATCATCCATGGTTTGTCAACTTTTCTTATAACAGTTTTTAATACAGTTCTTCTACAGAGCTGCTAAAATATTCATAAATACATCATCAGCACATCCTTCTAGTTTGATTTAAATTATTTCAGTTTATCAAGAGATTCATTCATCTTTGTATTTATTGTACCTGCTGTGTCACTGCATTCATCATTTTATAATAAAAACTGGTAAAAATTATCACTTCTATCAGTCAGTCCTGTTAGTAAAATATTACCAGTCACTGCAGCACTATGGTGTGATTCTTGTTGGTTTAGACATCAGTGGATGGATAAAGACTTAAACTATACCCTGAGTTTATAACTCTGATATTATATTATAT